GACTGGACACATGGGGATATCAAGATGAGTGTAAATGGGTATGGGAGACATAAATGATACTACAGACAAAACCTATGTGTGAGTAGTGAAAAAGCATTCCCAAATGAAGGAAAAGAACCAGTAGTAAGTATTAGGCCACCTTATGCTGGATTACTGATGGCAAAGTGCTCCTTAAGCAGGAGCGCTCCATTAGCACCCAGATCACAGGGGCATTAAGGTGTTCCTGAGATGGAAAATCATTTCAACAGTGGATCTCGTGTCTTGTCATTGGAGCCTAACTTCAGACACGCAAGTTATCCTCAACAGATTTGCCATACAGCTCTTCTCAGTCTCCAAACTAATGTGAACTTTACTAATATGCTCTTTACGTGTTTGTTGTAGATGATGAAAAAAGTTTGGTGGCCAGATCTATTTGTAATCCCTTTGTCAACTGGAAAGACAATCAGACTTTAGGATCTGAACTGGAGGAAGTTCTGAGGTAAGTCATTAGCGGAAGGGATATTAGTAACAGTATAAATCAAATCTATGATCTTTGCTCTATATCACCTTACATTTCCACTTGCATTGATTTCATATTCACTAAAATGCTTTTTTTCCCCCTCCAGGAAAATAAAGTTACCAGAGTTTGGTGGAAAAGACTCCAAGAGGTCCATTAATTCGGATGATTTAGAAGCCATACAGAACACTCTACATCGTTTAAAAGGCTTTGAGAAAAAAATGAATAGAAGTGAATTAAAAAGCTTAAATCTATTCAGAAATTTGAAGAATGAAACATTACAGAAATTGTATGCAATTCTTGAACTGGGAATGAATCCACATCATGATTATAAATTAAAGGAACCATATAATAAGGAAATAATTGATGAAATCTATAACTTCACATCACTGCAATTACAGAGTGACTTTAATGGGACTTCCATTTTTGATATAATGACCCAATGGAAAGAAATTCAGAGTGCTTTAAAATTAGCTACAATGATCTGGAATCCAGTTCTGTTAAATAATTCTAATTTTAGTGCAGTGCAAACTCAGGATGCTCTCAAAATATTGCTGTCCACTAGCATGCCATCCATTCTGGAAGACTTCAGAGAGCATTTAAATGGAATGAAAGAAGTACCATCTTTGTTTTCTGATTATCTGCTTAAGCTTGTGTCCTACAGAAGCTTTCCAGACCAGCTCCTAGCTCTCCAGAAGATGTTTTTTATAATGACAGGCACAAACATAGGTTATCAGTACTTACTGATGCCTGTGTTTGAACTGATGAGGAAAGTAGAAAGTTCCATGGGTGAAGCCTGGTGGGATGAGCTGAATGCCTATTGGCGCATTGGGGAGGAATTGAGAGCAATGAAGTGGAATAGCACAGGCATCATAGCCTACGGGCAGTTTTTAGAGGTATTGAACAGCCATTTAGAAAAGCTGAATAATAATTCTAATAGTGTCTTCGGTGAAAAATTGGATCAACTGTCAGAATTTGTAACAGCCGTGTTTAAAGAGTTTGGGGATAACTCTGAAGGAGCCAATATCTCACTAGTCACTCAAGCCATACAAAAGACCTTGCACATATTAAAAGACTTACAGCTGAATTATAATGTCAGTAAATTAAAATCTATAGATCTTTTCTTTAATTCTGACGATAAAACCTTTGAGAGCTTGTCTGAACTTCTGAGGACAGGAATGAAAATCCTTCATTATACAAGTGCCAGTGAAGCTGCCAGTGAAGAAATAATTAACCGTGTCTATAACTTAACACACATTCTTCTGCAGGAGTTCAGCCGGTTTTCCTTGTGGCACAATACTTCTTTAGAGGCAAAAATTTGGGAGTTCCTGCATGTAGCCTTGAGTCCTTTCCTTGAGACCAGCAACAACAGTTACGGGACACCCCAGAACTGCTCTGCTCAGGACATGCTCCACGTAACACTTGAGATGCTCTTTGAAAATACCACTTTAAGCAAGTCCTTAGCTGGGAGCCCCTGCAAACCCCTCTTTGATTCCATGGGCATGGAGGGCGTGAGAATGCGCAATGACACCCTCCAAAAAGTGTTCCAGCTTGCCATAGAAAACCTGAAACTGTCTCCAGAGTTTGCCGCTGTCTACCAGAACAGCAGCGACCGCTTTTCCGAGGAGCTGTCATGCATCATCCAGTCTCTGCAGTTTACTCTGAGTTTCCTTTCCGAATTAAACCTTGTCTCTGAGCTGGAGAACTCCTGGGTGCAGGAGAAGGCGAGAGCTCTGGCCGCTCTCACGGAGGGGCTGCTGCAGAGTAATGCCTCCTGCCCCACCCCAGGGGACACCCCAGAACTGCTCTGCTCAGGACATGCTCCACGTAACACTTGAGATGCTCTTTGAAAATACCACTTTAAGCAAGTCCTTAGCTGGGAGCCCCTGCAAACCCCTCTTTGATTCCATGGGCATGGAGGGCGTGAGAATGCGCAATGACACCCTCCAAAAAGTGTTCCAGCTTGCCATAGAAAACCTGAAACTGTCTCCAGAGTTTGCCGCTGTCTACCAGAACAGCAGCGACCGCTTTTCTGAGGAGCTGTCGTGCATCATCCAGTCGCTGAAGTTTTCTCTGAGTTTCCTTTCCGAATTAAACCTTGTCTCTGAGCTGGAGAACTCCTGGGTGCAGGAGAAGGCAAGAGCTCTGGCCACTCTCACGGAGGGGCTGCTGCAGAGTAATGCCTCCTGCCCCATCCCAGTCCAAGGTGTGGGTGATGTGCTGCCGTCTCAGCTCTTGGACATGCTCATTCCTTTCATGCTGAACGAAACAGTGCTGAACTCCCTAAATTTCCCTGACAGCTCAGCAGGCTGGAATAACCTGTCCAGGCTCTTCAGTGTGGCACAGGCTGAGCTCCGCATGAACAACCTGCTGCAGAGACTCCAAGGCGCCTTCAACCTGAGCAGATGGAGTTATTACTCAAGCGTCTGGGATGTGGTTGACAGTTTCCTAAACGCCAAAAGGAATCTAACCAAAGCAGCTGCCTTTGCAGAATTGTTGGAAGCAGTGGCAAACAACTCTGCCAACAATGTGTCAGCTCTAGAAATCATAGAAGCCAGTCGCTACATTCTCAAGAGGCTGAACTCCTCTGATCTGCTAAATGAATTCAATATCAGTTCCAGTTCAGCTTTTCTCACCACCAAAACTACTTTTGACAGTGTGGTTGATATTGTCACTCATCACTTCATTGTCATGGCAGAAACCTTATACAACAAGACTCTCCCTTGGACTCAGAGCGACCAAACTCTGTCACCAACCAGTTTGATCACACGGTGAGTTTGCTTTTTTGGGTAACGTAATTGCATTTATGGGTAGTGCCCACCATTCCCAGTCCAGCATGTGGAGTTTGTTGTTTTCTTCCAGTGGAGCAACTTAAGCCTGAAATCACCCTAATTTAGGACACTAGGTCTAACGTGGGTTAATCTGAAGAGGAAGTTTCTCCTCGAACTGAACATACAGCTAAAAGGGAGACTTTCAGAACGTTTTCTGTGCTGGCATATATCGGTTCACAGTGGAAGCAGGATCCTGTCCGAGGCTTGCCACCAGTGGTAAACTCTTCAGAATCCCCTTCTTTGTAGTATGACTCTGTTTTTTGATTCTCAGACTCCCCTAGGCATGCCTTTCCATCTATATCTTGCATCCATAGTGAACCTTTCCAGCGTGTTTTCTTATACATATGGTTTGAGTGTGAATGACAGCTTTGGGAGATAACAACAAAAAGAATTGATGAAAGAAAATTGGGAGGGTACCCACTTAGATGTCATGGGAGATACATGGCTTCATCTGGAATTCTTATTTACACTACCAGGGAGCAGCATCTACGCAGCTGATGGGTTGCTCACTAATATACCTTGTTTCTGAAAGAAAAGGTGATTTAAAATCCTGTCTTATTTTTCAGATTTCTATTTTTAGAATTTGAAAACACCATCTTACAGGTGACAGTGAATAACAGCTATAACTCTTACCTGAGGTGTTTAATGAATGCCACTGAAGTTGAAGACGGAGAATTGACAGGTAATCATGGTTTCATTAATGCTGTGGGACCTCAGCTGGAATATGCTGTGCCTGTCTTTTCGAAGTGTTTTGTCTAATGATGGGAAGGAATGGTGCTACATGTTTTCATCCACTGGCAATTAACCGGAGGTGTGAGACCTCAGGGAGCCAGACTCCTTTGCTGTTTGAGTTATGTCACATTGCGGATATAAGTTTTCCATCCAACTCTATCCAAAAGGCACGTCTCCTGTTCGCTATGTGATAACAGGCTGCTGACACTCAGATAAAGAAGTCTTACAAATAGAAACCTATATTCTCTTCACAGCTTTATGTACCTGTCAGATGACAGCAGTTATTTTTGAGAGTTACATGGTATTTCATGTATGTGTGAGCTTACTGTAAGACCTTAACTATGCACAGAATAGAGATACCGTGTGTGCTCTGAAAAGCACCGTCAGGAGTCCTGTTACCACTGTGGGGTGGATTTCTTCAGGTCCAGAGCACCCACTCAGGCTGGATGCATGTCGTGGTTTAATCCATATTACAGCCTAGGTTTGGCCTGGGATTTCAGACATCCTGAGCCGTGTGAATTGGGTAGAAAATAGCAAAGTTCAGTAGGCCTCAGAATATAAGTGCTGATATTCCCATCTGTGAAGTTTCTGCAAGCCTGGCGTTTTTGTCTCGAGTAACTTCTGTTTTCTTCCTTGAGCAGAAAACATCACACTCCTTTTGAAGCAAACTCATCTGAAAAAGAACTCTTTTATGCAAAATAATACCTCTGAGAAACATTCATCCATACCAGAGCTCCTGAAGCTAAAAGTGAGTCCGCTTAAAATGCTGACTTAAAGGACATCCCGCAGTGATACATGAATGTGCAATGGAGGTTTTGAAAAACAGCGTGTGGAAAAAAAGGTTCTTAAAAGAACAACTGATAAAAACCGAGACTGAAACTCTGTTTTCTGCCTGCTGCCTATATTTAAAGGTCACCATTAAACTGGGCTGAGGAACTTGTTCTTTTATGAGTCCCTGCCAAGTGTACATCCATTTTTCTGAGAAAGTAGAGGTGCTCCTGTCCTCCCAGTCTGTTGGACAGAATGGCTTCTGTTTTCCACCAGCCATCCCAGAAGAATGAGGATTGCATAGGTTGCCAGTGGCAGCATAGTCCTCATAAACCAGTAGTTTTTAAGTTCATTTGAGACTTTCGTCCTTGCAGAGCTGAGATTATTCTAGGGTGTCTCAGCTTCATTTGAGAAGTACGTTGGGAGGAGTTTTCAAAGGCACAGGTAGCAGTTAGATACCTGCTGAAACTCAGTGGAATTGTGCGCACCAAATTGGCAGTTATCACTAACTTAGTTACCACTCTGCCAAAGGAGTTACACCAGCACCAGCGTGGCTGGGGGCCAAGTCCCCACATGCTCCCTTAGATGTCTCGCAGCACCATAATGGTCTCTGAAATTAAACACCCAAGCAATATCAATTCATGGATTTCCCTCACCAGCTATGGATTTGGCACTGCCTCACTTGGATAAAATGCTTCTTACACCGTATGTACATGGCTGCACTGATAGCACGCCTGTGCGTTGTTCTGTTGCTCTGTATGAGAAACAGAATTTAAAGTCTGTGTTAAAAAAGATAAGAGTATGCAATGCTGCTGCTACTTGATGTGTCTGTAACAACGAGATGATGAGTCTCAGTGTGACAGGTACTTACAGGCACAAACCAGAAAGCAGTTCTTGCTGTAAGAGACCGATAACCTAAGTAATGATGTCAGACAAAAGGGAAGCCCATAGCAGTGGAGTTGGCAAAGGACTACAATTTTATACAGGTTGGCAGACGCAGAAGTCCTGACTTTTGGCCAACTCCATTTCATATGCTGTAGTAGAGATGACCAGGTGGTGTCTGAAAGGCTCAAACTATTGCACAAAGTAGATTTATTTGGTCTCTGGGAAGATGAATTGGTCGGCAGGTAAGGCCAAATGGAGCGTTGCTATGTGTGTGTGTTGGGCAGGGGAAATGATATGTTGAGGTTTGCAAGGTTTATTAGATCCTGTGCAATGTTGTGTAGCCAGGTCTGCTACAGAAAATGCGAGCTGTTCTATTTTTTGGTGAAGTTTTGAATGAACTAAAAATATGTATTTTGATGAACGTTTTGAATGAACTAAAAAATACATGTTGAAATTTTAATCCTAAAGAAGAATGGGAAGGGACAGCTAGGCTTTTTCAAGGTCGCCTTTTATAATTCTGTCATCTAACTGGTGTTTGTGCATTTGTCTTCGATTTCAAAATTTCCTTTGAAGATATCTCGCCTCCGGGATCTGACAACACTTCTTTGTGACTATGAGAGCTTTAAGTCAATACAGCACATCTGCCATCTCCCCAGTGTCAGCTTTGGAGAACTGTGTGAACAAAGTCAGTCTCACGAGCAGCTCCTCCGCGCGATTGAACTGAGCAGTCAAGTTGTGACCAACGTACTGAATCACAGGAGAATCTCACAAGAGCTTCAAAATATACTGATTGGGGATGCCACAAACTTCCAGACACAGATGAAGTGGTAAGGCTCTCCCTCTGAGTTAGACTGCTCTAGTGTTCTGTTTATGAAATGATGAAATGGCTTCTTGCCTACTTTTCATATACCCAATTTTGTTGGTTGTTTTGTCTTTCCAATTTAGGTTTCAAGAAAATGTACCAGAAATTGCTTTCTTTCAAGAGATTCCTCAGTATATGAGTACTTTGAATTCCATGTTGAACATCACTGAGGATTTAACAGATTCTAGCAAGCAAGGTAGTTTTTTGTATTTACTTTACAATGCTGGTAATCATCTGGTATCATAATTTCTGCTGGAAATTTCAGGACTTGTTTACCTGCCCAGAAGAAATGAGATTAATGAAATAACCACACACCATGTCCCATGACCTTGGGATCCTTTATCTAGGGTAATTCTAGAGCCTGTTCTAGATCACCCGTTTGTTTTCTGTACTGCCCAAAAAGTCCTATGTGCTGAAAGTCCCAAGGCTTTGTATTTGAGTAACTTTCGCTATCGCTAGACCTGTCAACTTCAGCCCACAAATCAGACTGTAAAACCTAGGGAATATGACTGAATTTTACAGGTTGTTGTCTGTTTCTTTTATCAGTAGTGATGTATCACACTCCCATACTTTACCTAAAGTCTTCTCTATGTGCTTGAGATTGCTGTATGTCTGGAGAAAACTGTTACATCGATTATTCTTTGATTGTTCTTTACAGAAAAGTTAAGAGATGTGCTTAAAAATGTGGACCAGCTCAAAGAGGATCTCAAAAACAGAACAGGAATGTCCACAGCCAGTATTGATGCTCTTCTGGAAGCATCTCTCCCGGAAAACAGCAGTCAGGTAAGTTTGCTGTCATCCTGGTGGGAGATCTTGTTGCTTCCTTCCCCTCAGACCATTAAAACCTGGGTTTGTTAGTGAAGGCAGCCAGTCAGCCCACTGCACATGTGACAGCACAGAGGGAGGTAGACAATCCCACAGGGATAGAAGCATGGCATGTTATGGATCACTATAGCCATCAGAGATGCAGTGAGAGCAATCATTGACAGCAGTTCAGCCACGGGAGGCTGAGAGCCATATGGTCCCTTTGGCTGTCAGCAGTGGCTGGGAAGCAGCCATGCACTGCCTGGTGAGTGTTCTGAGCTGTGGCAAGGGCACTGTTTCCTCTGACTAATGAGTACTGAGCAGGGTCCTCGGTGGGATCCTCAGTGCTGAGGTGTTGTGGCAGTCCAGATGGAAAACACACTTCTAACCACCATTCGTGAGAGCACTCGGGTCTATAGACTCCCATAGTGAGAGATGAGCTTGCCTTCCTCAGCCTCCTGCGCAAACAGAGCTCCAGATGCTTTTCCCCTTCCCAACCATCTTGTCTGGACTGAGCCCCAAAGAGCCCGCTCTTTTCCAGACTTTGCATGCATCGGTCAATGGGAAATTGAAGCCACAAAAGCTTTTACTGCTGCACAAGCTGGGCAGTAAAACACAGTCCTTAGGATTCATCCCTTGGAGTGGGAGTAATGGGGCAGGCATATTCCGGTTCTTGTGGGTTGAAATGTGGCACTGTGGGAAGAACGACAGCAAAGCAAGATTAATCTGTGCATACTAGAGCGAGCAGTCTACTCCCTAACGAATCCCTTCTTTTGTGCAAACACAGCTCATTTCTCAGATCCTCCAGCTGGAGTCCTGTCACGGCCATCCTGCTGACCCACAGCTGCAGACGGTAGTGGAGGAGTTCTGCAATCTCTCTCTTTCAGAGAGGACCCGTGAGACCTACGTCCTGGGCGTCACACTGTTACGACACTTAGACATTTACAATTTCTTATACAAGGTTAGTGCTGGATTTGTAGAGTGCTTTCTGTAGTCTTTGCTGCGTGTAGTGGCTGAAAGGTCATAAAATATCGTTGCGGTGGCCAGAAGCTATGCTGATTTACACAAGCCAGAGATCAGGCTTTGCTCATGCCAAAATTTTTATTGTATATCCATGCTGTGACAGTGTGGGTATGAATGAGGATCCCAGCTGGTGGAAACCAGCAAGCCTCCTTTAAAGGCACTGGACCTACTCTAAGTGCCTCCCTATCTGCTAGTGTCGTTTATATGTTGTCACAACCTCTTTGAACAATTCCCAGCTGAGTTCAGGCTTCCCAAAAATAAGGCATTGGGCTAAAATTATTTTATTCCTTGAAAAATGAAGCCCTGCAAAAATACTGTAAAATGTATTTTCCCAATCTAGTTGGCACTGCCAAGTTATTAAATGATTCAAATATCCCATGCACGCAACTACATAAACAGCACGTGAAAATACCACTCATGGAGAAGTGTGTGTTGAATACGTATTTTAAAATGCTACAGAAGTGATCCTGGGGAAAAAAATGTTGATAGATGAGAATGCCAATGAACTTGGCCCAGGTCAAGTGTCACATGCAGTGTTTGACATCTACGTGGTGTGAAATGCTACCTCTTAGAGACTCAGACTCTATCCCAGCCAACATCTGATGCGCATTTCCCAACTGCAGGTGTTTGGGAACATGCACTGTTCAGAATATGTAACATTCAGGGGAGTGCTTTGCAAAAGCGCTTGGGGATTTAGGGGTACAAATCCCATCCATTTCCCATGCGACATCCGCTCCCTAAGCCTCCTAAAGAGTTTTGAAAATGTCACAATCTTTGTCTTGGAATGACCACAATACAGGCATGTACTTGCATGTGCACACAGATTCCTGCTCATGCTAATGGATTTCCTTCCTGCCTCTTGTAGATGTTTTTCCCTAAGGAACTTCAGAAACCCATGGACAAGTTGCTAGGCCTTCTGACAAAAATGAAGTATTTCAGACACCAGGTCGAATCCGACATTGATCCATTGCTACAAGCTATCCATTCACTGAAAAAGCTCCGGCAATCTAGAAATGTGCCACTGACTGAGGTACGTGTAGTCTGCCTGTGTTTTGGAGACAAAACCTCCACTGGAAGAGTTTCCACAGGAATTTTGTGCTCTAGAAGTCAAAGGTGCATTAAATCATGGATTACTGATTCTCTTTTAAAGCAGCGGTGTCCTAAGAAGAATCTCTCTCCAGCTTACATGCTGCTTTCCTGGGAGAGCTTTGAGTTGGAGCAGTGGGACTGTCACGCGCTCGCGAGGGGGGGACACTGGGAACACGTGCTGTGGGAGGGGCACTAGGAAGACAACTTCAGGGGCATGAACAACTGGCTTGAAGGAGGAGAGACTTCCAGTCAAAAACACCGTTGTACTGGAAGGGGTCAGCTTGTGAAAGGAACTGGAGAACTGCCCACTAAAGGCTGTCCAAACCCACATAACTCAGCAGCAAAAATCTGGTCTAGCTTTAGTGTGCATTAGAGCACACCCAGAGCCTCCAGGCTGTCCAAAATACTCACTGCAAACCCAGTCCTGCTCCGACTGTCGCGGTAACTTCAGGTTGCGCTGATTTCATCCGGTGCTGGATCCAAGACCTCTCTGATCCATAGTCAAGGACAGCTTAGACCATGGGAATCGTTTCCAGTCTTGGATTTTCCTGCACGTTGCAGAACCACGTGCAGTCTCTGACTAGATGGAGGCAGGGGATGTGCACGGCTGGGGGACAGATTCTGTCTCGTAACCCAGGGTGCGTATGTGGCACCAGGCACACTTTATAGGCAGTTCCCACATTGGATCTCACACCTGGAAATGAATTTCCCTCCTCTGTCACAGCAGAGGTTAGCCATAAAAACATGATTTCCATGGAAAGTCTCTTTTTTCCTAGAGGCAAACTTTTCATAAGAAAGCCATGTAAAAATCCTTGCCTTCTGATACTGCTATTTCTTTTTCCTCTCAGAGTGGGATGTTCTTAGCGTGCAGGATTTATTTGCATTTTGTCTTTTCTGCAGGCATTATTTAAACCAAACAACTTGAGGGTAACACGTGGCACATTTAAGTCCATGTCAAAAGTTCTCTGCAACCAGGAGATCACACCCCTGTTTTTTGAGTCCTTGCTTCCAGATTTTGGAGACCCTGTAAGCAACAGTTCTTCTGTGGAAGATGTCTATGTCCAAAAGTTGATGAGGAAATATGGGATTCCGCATGACTCCAGTAAGTCTGGCTTTTCCTTAAGGCAAAACCATTTCAGAGCCGAACCCTACTGTTTCCAGAGAGATCCAGGGCTGAGCTGTTCCCCTGTATGTCTCTGGAGGGCTGGAAGTGCTTGTGATTTATTCTAGCCGAAGATATGCACTGCCCTAATTATTGGTGGGTTATTCCCATAAGCATTAAAAGGAAAGCAGCCTGCGTAGCAGAGCGGTGCTTGACGCTGTGCTGTTTCCTAGCAGGTCACTGCTTTTTCTTAATGTGTAGTTTTTCCGACTGTACTGAGCTTATTAGCTCCTCTGAGTTCACGAAACTCCATGTGACTTCCAAGCAGAGAATCTCAGCTCAAACAACGTGACCCTTGTTGTCTTGAGTTCAGCAGCGGGAGATCTTGGGGGTGGATTGCTTTTGTCGGCACGTTCTGTCAGGCAGTGAAGAGGGCCCTGAAGTCATTCGCTGGACACAGCAACAAACTGGGCACATGGCAAAGAATACACCAGTAGCTTTCTCATGTCTGGAATATTTGTGCTCTGTGCAATTTGTTTGCTTTTCTCTCCTTGCAGCTCCGTTTTGCTTATCCTTTTACCTGGATCTGGTCAAGACCCCAACTGGAGCTTTGATTTGGTCCTTTTTAAAACCAATGGTGCTTGGGAAGATCCTTTATACACCAGATACCAGAGAAACTCGAGCAATCATGGGCAAGGTATGGCTCTGTTTACACTACCTCAGGGTACACCCGCTCAGAAGGATTGTGATTTATCTACCACGGGCTTGTTTCTCTGAGAAGCAGAAGCCTGTTTTCTGACTCTTTGGAGTATTAGTCAAATTATGTTTTCCTGGTTGCATTGCTGGTCATATGAGTCACTTTTTGTCTTTGAATGAGTCTTACCTCCAAAAAATTGCTGTTGGTCTAATATTGATGATTTTTTAAGGCTGTCAGTTTATGAAGTTTCACCCCCGTATTTTCAGTCGGTAAGAGATTGATGTCTCCCAGGACAAATGCTATAAGCAATGCTTGTTCATAAGCAGACCAGTGGTAGAAGGAAAGCTGATATGCAAGATACGCTCCAAATGTCACCTCTGAGGCCATATTTTTGAGTGTGTGCGCTAAGGAGCATTTTGCCAAACCCTGACAAGGTGCTAAGAAAAATCCTAAGGACAACAAATGTAGACTTAGCCGTTTCATTGGTGTATTTGTTGTTTAAAAGATGTAAGGTAATGAAGATACGAATCCTTACATGTTGTGGGCTTTTTTTTTTTTTTTACAGTCTAATGCAACCCTGAAGCAGATGGCTGATCTAGCCCTGAAGTCCCAGGAGTGGTTGGACAAGTCTCCTGTCATCATGAATTCCCTGACAAAGTTAAACCAGACAGTCCTTATGATCGAGGTATGAGACCCTACCTCCCTCGTCTCTCTCAGGGGGGGAAATTGGGAGGATGGATTTCTTCGCTGAAATAAACTGGAGTTCCAGGTACCGCAGGAACATCTTAGGTCAGCTGGGGACACCCTTCTTGGCCTTTTGTCCTGGACTTCACCATTTCTGTGCCTGCCTGCCTGTTCCCGTAACAGAAATACACTCCTGATGCACCTTTCCATGCAAATCCTCTTTCTGAAATGATCTGTTCATAATATGCTCCCTGACACTGGCCATGCTGAGGCCTGCTGGAGGGCTGAGATGAGCACGGAACACTCTTCCGTTTGTAAATTAACTTTCTGCTTGATGGAGTGATCCAGCCAGCCAAGACCAGGCAAGAAATGGCTTTTTCAGAAAATGAAACAGTATCTATAATAAGCATGTTGCTCTGGGTACACACATAAGAACTAGAAGATGTCTTTGTACCTCAGTGAATGTAAATAAAATTTCTTTCTCCCCTTCTAAGGAGCCTAGCCTTGCTTGGATACAGAAAGCAGTAGGCTGTAATGTTTCACGTACTCGCTTCCCGTTCTCCGCGGTAAAAATGGTTTCCTTTTCTCACAAAACTAAGAAAATGAGATCTCTGGAACCCTAAAGCATTAGCCATTAATTTCAGTGGCTGGAATTCATTGTAATTTCCATGGCACTGAGAGAAAATCCAGAGTGGAATACGCGAAAGTGAAATTAAATATTCTCTGCTGGCTGCACTCATTGGTGGAATAATGAACTATTCACCCAAACAAAAATCTGTCTGCTGGTTTCCCAGGTAAATTTTAGTCCCCTACCCATCGTGCTACAGCTGTCTTCACAGGGCTTAAACCAGACACAAATGAAATGTAAAGCACTTGCAGAATAACAAAGATGGTCCATGATTTTTCCATGGGACTCTAGTGCCTGGTGGAGACTCAGTGGCCTGCTGACTCCAAGAAACACTGGCGTGGACTCCTGGGGCTCTGTGTGACCTTTTTATTGCAAACGTTACCCCATCCTGATATTCAGAGTGAAATACGGAAGATCAGGAAAGGAGTAGGAGGGGGTTGCTCAGTGGAGACAGTTGGTATGTTCTGTTTTAGAAATAGGCTAAATAGGGGGCTTCTGGTCAAGCTGATGCTTTTTCTTTTTGCTTGTTGATAGAACACCCTGCAGAATCCCTTTGTGCAGGTTTTTATCAAGCTGATGGTGGATTTGGATGCGGCTGAATTGCTGAGTCAAATAAACGAACTGGGTAAGTTGTTCCACGTGTGCTGCCCTCCTATTTGTACTTCCGATCTGGGAGCTCCAGAATCATCAAATTGTAGCCACCCTCTGGTACTGCTCTGGCCAGTATTGATTGCTTTAGCGCTGGTCTCTGGAAAAAGACTCTTAGAAAGCAAATGGCTTGGATGAAGAGATGTTTCTCCTGAGTGTTGGATGGATGGGATGTAGGATGGGAATCTCTGCAGCTGAGTGTGGCCACTGGAGGACACTGTTTAGCTATAATTATGACTTCAAATGAGCTACCTGGGATTCTGCTGGGAAATGTTGAGGAGAGCTCACTTGCATCACATGAGGGTTCAGCTTAAAAGTTTTCCAGAGCAGAAAAACAAGGGATCAGACAAAGGTACCCAGGCTGATGAAGCCAGAGGCATCATTACAGGAGATGCTCTGCTGGAATTTGCTGTTCCCTGGTGTCTTTCGTGGTCCTTCAAGGTGAGAGTTGCTGATGTGCACTGTGGGAATCATCAGCTAACAGCAGTGGTGATTACATTCTGCACAGCATGGTGATTCCAATCCCTTCCTCGCTGATCTCACTGTCCCTACTCGCTTTTTCAGTGAGTGGCCCTGCACATCAGCATTAACCTGGGTTATGCCAGCAACCCGCAGCATAAACCAAGAGTGGTTGTAGTCTGTTGCAGTCAGGATATTTACACACTCTTCCTGATGACCCCTGTGTTATTTCATGAGTAGCATCACCTGCCTTAACTCCCCATATACTCATCGTGCCTGCAGCAGCTGTTCCAGATTAGTTACACTGCATTATGCAGTCACCTTTTGAAACAGCCAGGAAACAACAGCATTGTTATTAAACTGCATTATCAGGTTTAGGACCCACATCAGCACAACAGCCGTAACTTTTCCTTCATGTGCTTGTATAAAGCACATTCTCCCCTGAGACAGAGCAGCTCAACACACGAGTCGATTACATCAAAACCCACAAGATGTGGAATGAATGGCGAACACCATGTCTGGGTCTAAAACCTTGGCAGGTTAGTAGCAACTTCTGATTTGGGATGGCTGTCACATCCTATTGCTGGCATCCTCCCAGAGGCAAACTCACGAGCATTTTACAAATGATTAACAGAAAAATTGGGTCAACAAACATGCCTTCATTGCACTGTCAAGTGTAGAAATGTATTTTACACTTAATGTTTAGTATGAAGGGTTTTTTTCTTCCTTTCTGGTGTCATTGTTAGTGTAAAGAGCAGGACGGTGTGATGAATTTTTTGCTACGTGTAGTGATGCTCCTGGTTTTGTTTGTGTTCTTTTTTCAGATGATATTCGGCTGGAATTGCAGAACAACACTGACATTGTTGATCAGCTGAATACATTAGCTACCCTTGCTGTAAATGTGTCCTCCTGTGTCTCATTTAATCGCGTTCGGGCAGTCAGAAGCATAGAGGAAATGGAAATGGTGGCTAAAGAGCTCTTTCTGAAGAACGAGCTTTTTGCAAGTATGTGACAGAGTTTGGAGTCCCCTGTAAATTAAAGTTAGCCTGGCACAGGGTGGGAGTAGCATAAGAAGTTTGGCTTTCCACCCGTACTGTTGTGGTCACAGCTCCTACCGCACAGCAATCAATTTTGAGCCAGGGGGTGCATGGGACCTGCGCACTGAGAGCTCCTTTATGGCAGCGTTTTACACTCCCCTTTTTATACCTGCTGGTCTCTCACATCTCCGCTGTCTGTATAGAAAGCCTTTGGTCAGCTGGGGTTTTCTCTTGGTTAATTCTCAGTTTGCAGGAAATTACACTGCCCTTAGGAGATCTCCGTGACAGCTGCCTTCTTCCAGGCCCCCACGGGAAAAGATGCTTTAATCGAGGAAGATATGAGACAATTCAATTTATGATAACGTCATAAAGCTCTTGAGGTTTGCTTGTAACTCCTGTGACCTGTTTGGGTTTATACCTCTTAACTGAGGGGGTAGATAGAAACCTCCTTTTCTTTTCTTGGCACTTCAGACCCTGATAATATTTGTCTATTCCCACAAAGGCAGTTTTCTTCCATGTTTGTCCTTCATTCCATCATATGCTTTATATATGGAAAAATATTCTGGAGAGAAAATCTTCTATGGTATTGCCTCTACTCAAACCAACCCTTAGAAGGGAAAAAAGTCCTGTCTGTCAAACTGTATCTCCAGCGTGCCATTTCCTGACAGGAACTTGCAAAGCTTTTATGTTCTTAGAAGAACAAAAAAGAATCTGTGCAAAAATCGGTGTGGGCACAAAAATGTGCATATATGTCCCAAAGAATTTTCAACTCCACATTCCTGAGGTTTTTATGTGCCTTTTCCCTTTCTTTTCCAAGGTGTCATTTTCAAGCTGCCTTCAAGCCAAAGCAGCCCTGGGCATGCAGTTCACAGGGACTTGGCCCTCCCTCCCGTGCTCAACTACACCATCCGAATGAGCAGCAGGATCACGCAAACCACCAACAGAATAAGGGAGCGCATCTGGACGGTGGGCCCGCACAATTCCACCTCCCAGAGCCAGATTTACAGCCGGGCGTTTATTTATATCCAGGACAGCATTGAAAGAGCCATTATCGAGTTACAGACTGGCAAGAAGCCAGAGGAAATAGCTGTTCAAGTCCAGGCCATGCCTTACCCCTGCTACAATAAGGATATGTAAGTGTGTGTGGCTTTTGTCTTCACGCTTTGTGTAACCTCCTCTTGTCTGACTGGTGGAGTTCGCCAGCTGCGCTGGTCTCCTTAGTGCTTCACATAGCACAGAAATCATTTTGTTTTGCGGTGGTTTCGGGGGTTTTTTTCCAAGGCTCTGAACAAAAGAGGGAGTCTCGGACTCTGGTATAAATGGTCTGTGTTTAGTTTGCCTAATCTTGTTTTCAGTGCTTTGTATGTACCTGAATTGTCATGGTAACTACAGGTTTTGCAGCAGGTACAATTCGCTGTCCCTGTTTCACTACACATGGTGGAACTGAGCCTGGGATTGGCAGGACTTGGGTTAAACATGAGCCTTGGCTTGTTCTGCAGGTGTTTACGTGCAGGCAATGCAGCCGAACTTAGAAAATGTATTTAATGGGCAAAAAAAAATAGAGTCCCTAGGTTTATGAGCTTTGTTCCTGGAGATTGCTATCCAGCTGTGGTATTTGTTATTCATTCCAGTGATTCTAGCTGGTGTTCGGTGTATAGTGGGTAGTTGTCAACGCAGGTGCCTCTCAGACGCTTTAAGAAGGATAAGAGGGAAGATGAAATCATACCATTCATCTCTGGAATAATGAGGGAGGACAGAAAATCTTTCGATGTGCTGTGTTGCCGGGGTTAAGAGCATGTTATACAGAGCAGTGCAGCGTGAACTGTGTGTGGACCAGAATAAGTTTTGAAATGTGAAGCAGGTCAAAAAGTTCTGGATCATCTTCCTTTCCAGTCATCTCGAGCCAGATCGGCAGCGAGTATGAAGTGCATCTCTGCCAAACGCAGTAGCGAGAAGCCAATCTCTCGCAGCTGAGGACCTGCCCCTCTGGCAAAACGATTTTGGTCTGCGTTGGAAAGCTGGCAACGTGGTGCTTCCTCAGAGTTATTACCCTGAGCGCAGCTGGTGGCCGAACCGAGCGGAAATCACGCGGGGAAGGGTTTTCATGTCCACCAGAAAGCACTGAAGGGTGTTCGGCAGATGGTATCGGGAGGCTGGACGATCACTTTGTCCTGACACGAGGGTCTCCCTTGGGCCGAGAGCACAGGCTAGGCTGAGGAGCTCTCTCTGGTGAAAAGCCTGCGTGGCTACTGCACCAGCTAAAAGATTGTCTGGGGGCTACAGGAGCCATAGCAGACCCACTAACCTCCCCTGTCAGCCTGTCTCTTCAGACAGCTGGGGACTTAGGATCCCAGGGTAACCGCACGCAGGACGCCTGCGAGCATGCAGGCAGTCAGCATTCAAACCGAGTGCCAGCTTCGTGCAGGAGATACGTGAATTATAGCTGTGAGATGGTTCTGTACAATGATTAACTGGCTGCTGGAGGCATTGACTACAGTGTTATCTGCTCCTTTTTTTGTTCTTGGGCTGCTGAGAAAACCACTTCCCTTCGGGTTTCCCTCCCCACCCTAGGTTCAGAGGGACAAGAGTTTGCTCAATTATTAAAATACCTAAAGGCTTTGGATTTGCATCCAGAAGTCATCATAAAACGACTGTTTATTGATTGTTATCACATAGTTACCATGCAGTAGGGAAAAGGAGGGAATATATATACCAGTACACAGAAGGTGTTGGGAAATGCTGAATTTTTAGTAGCCTTGGGATCATGCACAAGGTAGCAGCTGAAAAAGAACCCAAACAACAAAGGACTAGTAGAGCTACTGAAATGCCTGTTCATTATTCTTTATAAATATGGCTTCATCTGCATGGAAACATTTCCTGAAAGCGCTGGTTTATGGGAAATTTCCAGCTTTCCAGATAATCAAATTAATTTCGTACCTTTATTTTACATTAAACTTTTCCCAGGAATGTCACTGATTATTTTTTTAAGCCAGGTTTAGAAATGAGGGAGGAAAGCATAAGCCCTGTAGATACAATGAAGTGAATTTCCTGCCATGACAACTTGCTTTCCATCACAAAAGGAGAAATTTACTGTGGGCCATTGTTGTCTTTTTGTACATTTGGCACAGTTGGAAGTTTTTAACTGAAGTGAGAAGCCAAGAATTTTGAAGCCCATGTGGACCTGAATCCACAATACCTGTCCTGTGGGGTAGTAGGACAAACATTTTAAGGGGAAGCACCAAACTCCAGCACCAGGAAGTATGGCCTGATAGCAAAATTTGGCCATTATGTCTATTAACAGAACTGGTAATTATGGCTGGCTGCAGTGCTGATGCAGAAATGGGGTGCACCCCACCAGACAGCCAGGAGATCAGAGAATCATAGAATCATGGAATGGTTTGGGTTGGAAGGGACCTTAAAGATCATGTAGTTCCAACCCCCCTGCCATGGGCAGGGACACCTTCCACTAGACCAGGTTGCTCCAAGCCTCATCCAGCCTGGTCTTGGACACTTCCAGGGATGGGGCATCCACAGCTTCTCTGGGCAACCTGTCGCAGTGCCTCCCCACCCGCTCCGGGAAGAACTTCTTCCTGATATCCAATCTAAATCTCCCCACTTTCAATTTAAACCCGTTACCCCTTGTCCTGTCACTTCCTGCCCCTGTAAAAAGTCCCCCCCAGCTTCCTTGTAGCCCCTTCAGGTACTGGAAGGTGCTACAAGGTCTCCCCAGAGCCTTCTCTTCTCCAGGCTGAACAAGCCCAACTCTCCCAGCCTGTCCCCATAGCAGAGGGGCTCCAGCCCTCGGAGCATCTTCGTAGCCTCCTCTGGACTCGCTCCAGCCGGTCTATATCCTTCTGATGTTGAGGGCTCCACAGCTGGATGCAGCACTCCAGGTGGGGTCTCACAAGAGCAGAGTACAGGGGTAGAATCACAGGAGATGCCACTCCTGCAGTGGTTCCTGCTCCTGCCAGTGGTGCTGCCGAGCAAAACTTCCAGAAGGCATCTGGAAATCCCTCTGTGATTTTAAAAAAAGAAAATAGATTTGAACAGTCAGGACTTTCATGAATAGAAAATCCGATGCAATGGCAAAATAGCCTTTTTTTGTAATTATTAATTATACTCCACGTTTTGAAATATAAGCTTGTCTTTTCCTGTGCCAAAGTATTATTCTGAAAAGTATATTCTGTATAAAGCCTTAATCCCCAGAACATTTAGTATTCAGCTAAAGCCTGCATTTGCCTTTTACAGGTTCTTAACCAGCGTGACCTACTCTCTTCCATTTGCTCTGATGGCTGCCTGGGTGCTGTTTATAGCTGATTTTGTTAAAACACTTGTTCAAGAGAAAGATCTGAGGCTTTATGAGGTACGGTAAAACTTTCTGGGGCGTGCAAAATTATAAACAGATTTTCCTTATTAGTGGCTAGTATGTCTCATGTGCAGTATTAAATGGAGCAAAACAAGCATTAAGGAAAATAATATTCCAAATACCTATTGTTTGACCTGCAGTGTTTGAATTCTGACATTGTAACCAAGCTCAAACCCATAGAAAGGCAGGGCATTTGCCCTTCAAGTGGTGAGAATATTGCTTTGCAGTTCTCAGTACTGGAAACATGGGGACATCACGAAATTACAAGTTTTCTGAAGATTTTAAGCTCTCTAAAAATTGGCTTTGACTCATACCTACTGGGGACAAAGACATGAAAAGTGACTTATTTCCTGTCCCTGAAGTTGTTATACTTAATATTTCAGAAGTTGCTACATATGACATCAGCTCCTCTGAAATCAAGTTCTTCGTTCAGGTTGCCTATTGGAAAAGAAATTACATTGACACAAAGGGAATTTATTAAATTAACTCTGGTTTTGAGTGTGAACACAGTCAACAGAGATGAGCAGCGAAGAACAACTGTAAAACTAAGCTTCGGCAAGCAGTGAAAGCTCAAGCAGATTTGGGTTTTATCTGGTACCATGGAAACAAATACGGATTCACCAAAAGCGTTTCCAAGGAAGGGCACTCTGAACTGCAGCGGGCTTGGCGATGAGGGAGCCAGTAGCTAGTTGACAGCCCCTCACTCTGGTTTAGGGAACCCAGTTTCACTGTCCCTAACAACCAGGATGTCAGGCAGCTTTCTAGGTGTGTAATAATCTACAAGACACTAGCACCTCTGTTTCTTTTGGATTTATCAAAAATTCACAGTTTTATTAAAGTCTTGTGGATCTGATCATCAATAAGGAATATTGTTCCCTTATAACCATGGTAATTTAGCTTTCTTTTTTTATTTGTCTTGGGTGGGGTAGGGGGGGGGAGAAATGGTTTCATTTCAAAGATACTAGAGAGCTTTCACCCTCAAGCCACTGGATTATTTTAAAATACAACCCAAAGGCATTAGAGAAGTTACAAATCTAAGGCCAGAATTTGCTTTGGAGCCTGTGGGCTGCAGCACTTCATACTTGCAGATCCCTCCTGTGCTGCCCTTTTGCAACAGACTGCTTTGCAAACCTAGGGCATTCCAGAAACGAGTGCCTCGTTTCTCCCTGGTTATCAACATGCAGAATGCCAGAGTATGGAAGAGCATGTTTTGGTTGTATGCCCTGCCAGGAAACTGCAAAAAGAAAGAGTTCAGTATCAGCAGAAAGATCTCTTAATGGTAATTTGTGACTTTTTTGTTCACCTTTCTCTCTGCAGTACATGAAAATGATGGGTGTTAACGCCAGCAGCCATTTCATCGCCTGGTTCATAGAGTGTGCCATCTTCCTCCTAATTACTGTCACCTTCCTCATCATCATTCTAAAAGTGGGTGACATCCTTCCCAAAACAAACACAGCACTCCTGTTCCTCTACCTTATGGACTACAGCCTGTCCATCATAGCCATGAGCTACTTCATCAGTGTTTTCTTCAACAACACCAACATAGCAGCCTTGGTGGGCAGTCTCGTGTACATCCTCACCTTCTTCCCCTTCATCGTGTTGCTCGTCATCGAGAATCATTTGAGCTTCTCTGTGAAGAGCCTGCTGGTAAGTTCTGCTTTTCAGTCACGTGTGGGTAGAAGCAGACGCTCACCTTCAATAAGCGTCAGCTCTTATTATGGCTTGTGTCACAAATACACATGAGGTGGGTGCCTTTCCAAATTCCACCAGTGGTGGGAGACCTGGAATTACTCGTGTGCCATGACTGAAATCAATACTTAGGGAATTTTTGTGAGTTCCCACCTGCCAGCTGAATCAGGGTAGTTTGATCGATGTACTTTGTCCTTTTGAATTGCCAAGCAAAATGGGTAACTTTCAAGTGCCGTGAAAAATGAGGCTGTCTCAGTGCGGGGTTGAGGTAGCCAGGCTCTGAAGGAGGCCTGGCTCTGCTTGACCCTCAGTTTCATGCATCAAATTTCTAGCCATGGAAACAGATGTAAAGCCTTGTTTCTTACCAAGGGTAGAAGGCAGTAGGTGTTAGGTTCAGGTAGCCAGGCTTGTTTTCTTTGAGTCACTAAATTCAGGAAAGGACATCTATTAATGCAAATGGTAAAATTCAGGAAGGGATATCTATTAATTCAAATGGTAAAATTCAGGAAAGGACATCTATTAATGCAAGTGGTAAAATTATTAACCACATGGCAGGTAATTCTCAAACAGTGCTGCATTTCAAAAGCCTAAAATGAGGGAGGAAGTTGTGTCTGGGGTGTGGAAGCAAGTGGACGGCAGGCTGTAAGGAGACATTACAGCCCAGAATCCCTGCCCATCATAAGCCTGGTCCAGTGCTCTTTGTGACTGTTGGAAAAAACCCTCTCATTTTTCTGGCTACTGGACCAAGCCAGTGAGGTGCCTGATTGGTTGACTGATGATTTCTCTCTGAAACTAATTCATAAGTTCTTTGTTTTCCATTTGCTTTACTTCACAGAGCCTGTTGTCTCCCACTGCGTTCAGTTACGCAAGCCAGTACATTGCTCGGTATGAGGCACAGGGCATAGGTACGTTCACTCTAGACAAAACTAGGCTGTGGGCTGCCGTGGTTGTGACATCTCATTAACTAATGCGGATCCCGTTTGTATTTCTGAATTCCTGTCTGCAGGTCTGCAGTGGGACAACATGTATAAGTCCCCGATGATTGGAGACAACACTTCCTTTGGCTGGATGTGCTGGCTCATTCTGATAGACTCTTTTATTTACTTCCTCCTGGGGTGGTACATAAGGAATGTTTTCCCAGGTAAGGATACAAAGCATTAAGGCTGGTGCTGTACCGTCTCTTTCGGAAAACAATGGACACAACACTGGCTGATTCCATGGTTCAGGCAGCGAGACACTGCACACACCTCTGCTTCTAGATCTAAAGGAGTGTGACTTTGCGGATGTCTGAGTGTTAATGAAGCTGAGACAGAGCAGAGCTCGTCACATGGGGAGGTGGGTCTCCTGAAGAAGCTGAAGCCAAGGACGTGGGAGGATGTGGTTGGGGTCTGCTCAGTGAAAACGAGAACAGAGCGTGTTAGCCTGCGTTTGTCAGCTAAGTGATTTTGTGTTGCATTACTTACAACATTTGATTTCAAAAAGTAATTCCTGCCTTGGGCAAGAGCCAGTACATTTGTCTTTTGCTTTTCTTCCTCACCTAATGAAGCAGTCCACTGGCATACGGAAATCTACCCTCTGGAAAATGTAAAGTATTCCTGCCCTCCAGCTATGAAGTTACTCAGAATAACAAATCAGTGAAAGCTTCCTATTGTGTCAATCGGGCAAACTCTCTACCTGTACCAGCAGTACATGAGCACGTCAGGAGGGGAGAGATCTCTGTGGAGTTCACTTTTGCTGATTTGAGTGCACCCCGATAATGATACTTCCTGCAGAAACAGATACCTGAATGAGATCCCTCTTGTCCTTGCAGGTAGATACGGCATGGCTGCTCCCTGGTATTTCCCGTTCCTCCCGTCTTACTGGGTCGAATACAACAGTTACCTTCCCTTCTGGAATGAGAAACGAAGAAGCCTTCTCTTCACCAAGCTGCTGTTAAGGAAAGAAGCCGCCCTCAGCAGTAAGATATGTACGTGAATGCTGGGCGGGGTGGCGGTACTAACGCACGTTTTAGGTAAACGAAGCCAGATTTGTAAAGGGGCAGCGTACCCAGAAAGCACATTTCTGTATCGATCCTTGATTTGTAGCACATGAGAAATTGGAAGCTGTTACTTACCTGAGTGGAGATGTGGCTTTTAAATCATACTCATTCTTCCTATTCGGTGTGGAAACCCAGTGTGGATACTCACAAGCTTATTTGTAGTTGTTGTAGTTGAGGGTTACCATAGGTGTGTCTATCCCACCCTACCAGGCTCCGTGTAAAAACACGCTTTGTTTTGTGCACGCAAATAGAGGTTTCCACTTGGCGAAAGGGATGGGCGCTTCTCTGCTCACCTCTTGGTATTTTACAGGCTAAATATTTCGTGAGATCACACGCAAAACCTTGCTGATTCTACCTAACTGAAAACAACTTAGTAGTTTCGCTGTGTGTCCTCTAACCTTCTGTGCATGCTTAGTATAAATTAAGTTAGGTGCTCCGAAACATCTAAATGTGAGACCTTTTCAAAAGTGATTAATGCCTATTGTCAGGAGTTGTTAGAAGCTGCAGAAGTAAAAAGGAGAAATCCCAGAGAGCTCAAAAATGATACAGATCCTGTGAAATGTTCTCTACATTCCTAGCTGAAAGGCACCTACTTTTGCTGTATTTTGTTTTTAAAAGCCCTTCTTAGCTGTAAGGTGAAAAACGTAGCACGACCACCTTCTGCAGTGCAGTAACTGTCCTCTGACCCTTCCCTTTGGTGTCAAAGGTGCCCCCCCTCCTCACCTGGAACCAGAGCCCACTGATCTCACCGTGGGAGTCTCCCTCCGTGGCATAACAAAGGTTTATGGATCCAAAGCTGCAGTGGACAACCTCAACCTCAACTTCTATGAAGGGAATATCACTTCCCTGCTGGGACACAACGGAGCCGGGAAAACTACGACCATGTGCGTATCCGTTAAAGCTGCTTTATTTTGCACTGCGAGGCATGGCTGGGTGAGCAAGAGAGCAGGTGGGGCTGTTGGGAGTGTTGGGAGACTGAAAAAGACTGATTATTAGGCCAAATCTCTCTTGTAATTCTATCTTGCTCGTGGATGACCTCAGCAGTCCCTTCATCTATTAGAATTAAAGGTTCTTTTCTGCTTAGGAACGTGCTTTTTAATCTGGTAGGATTCCTGTAACAGACAGCACAGCAGCTATTCTAGCATTTTGTTTCATGACACTTTGGTGCCTGGGGTTAAGTTGTTCCGAAAGCTGCGGGTAGCTTGTGCACACACGAAAGCTGAAGTGATATTAGCAGGAAGGCTTAATAAAGGCATACTTCAGCTCTACAAACCCAGGTGTTGGCTGGGCTGGAATGGCAGTGGGTTAATACATTGGCCTTTCAGCCCTTCCAGCCTTGCCATTTCTAAATTAGTATTTGAGTTGTTAGATAACAGCACTAAAACAGAGCTGTAGAACTTGCTTTCTCCACTGATATATATGTGCATCACTCTGAAAGCAACATTAAGCTGATAAATAGAAGCCTCAGAAGAGCTGAAAACAATAAGACAGATGTGTGCTTCATCTCAGCTTATTATCAATTCATCTCGAATCCTGTTTGCAAAGGTGATATGCAGAAAAGTATAATAGCTTCTTGAAACAGTGCAGGTTTCAGTTCCTGGGTAAGGTCACAAGTTATTTCTTTCCTTTTTAATGATGGCTAAAAGGCCCAGGGGAGAGAGAAGCTCTGGGAAGGTGAAGGGCAGTCTGAGAAGATCTTCTCCCTTTTAGTCCCTGCAGGACAGTACCAAAAATGACCTATAATGTGCAAGTAGTTATTCTGAGCAGAGGGTGTTTGGCTCGGGCCTGTTGGGTATCGCTGGGTAGGTAGTTATTTGCTCCAAGGAGATGAAAGTGCTGCCCAACGTGAGATGTCCTGTCAGCAGGTCCTCTCTCCATTAGTTCTTGTTAGTCATGGCAGTGAAATCAGGTTTCCATGCTCTGACGTGGTTGGTCAGATGAAGATGTGCTGTTCAGTCTCTGTTGTGGTTAGCAATACGAGGCTGGCTGGATGCTGCAAAGAACTTCAAAGAACGAAGAGCAACTTCATTATATGAATTCCCAGTGATTATAATGGAAGTCAAGAGCATTCATGAGGATTGACGTATGGGATATGCCATGCTCTGACCTAGGGAGGGGGAAGCTGAAGAAGATAAAAGTACATGTGAAAAGCAGCCGGAGTTCAGCGTGTGAGCTTGGTACTTGTCCTGGCATTCCCACAGAGGGGTAGGAGGATGTCCTTTGACAATAACTGGCTTCTGCTCTGCCAACTCACGGACAGACAGTGTTCTGTGGCTGGAAGAGGTGTGGGCGTGATGTAAGGAAACTTTGAAAGTGGTGATATGCACAGGACTGTGTGAAAAACTCATGGCTTTCTCCTGTTTCTGATTTCCTTTTCTGTTTCCCTTTCAGATCTATTTTGACCGGGTTGTTCCCCACATCATCAGGTACTATCTTTGTGTATGGCAAAGACATCAGAACTGACCAGGAGGTTATCAGGAAGAACATGGGGGTGTGTATGCAGCACAATGTGCTCTTTAACTACCTCACCACCAAGGAACACCTACTGCTCTACGGGTACATCAAAGTCCCTCACTGGAGTAAAGAGGAGCTCTACCAAGAAGTGAAGAGGTATAAAAGGGGTTGGAGAAGGGAGAGAGGGCTGGCAAAATTACTGCCTGGTAGTGCCATTGCCACTGCAAAGCTCCAGCGAATGGGTATGAGGATTGTTGTGGACCCAGCGTAGAGTTCAAATAATGCCTTGGTCTGCCTAGAGGACTATAGTGAGTGTTGATATCCGTGGTTGTAAGAAAACAATGTCTCTTCTCCGGGAGGTTTACCAGGTTCTGTGGCAATTCTTTGGATATGAATTTATAGGCCTAAGGGTCTACTCCTTGCTGCTTTACAATTTTCCCCAGAAAGAGATTTAGACCAATCAGAAAGATGATGTTGGCTTTATTGGTTTTGCGAAGTAAAGCAGCCAGAACATCCCAGGGAGTTTGGATCTTGGTGTTCTCAGTGGATGAGGTTGAGCCTTTAACCTTGGCTCGTCAAATGGAGACCTTGAAAAGATCCTCAAAAATGGTTTAAATTAAAATCCCAGTGCCTGAGCTCCCGGGTGAATCATCTCCCTGTGCTGTGATCGTTCAGTGGAGCAGTCCGTACTTGAGCAGTTTTTCATTTGCTGTTACGGTTTTTCGGGTATTTTCAGAATCCCTGCTTTTCAGAGATGCCTAAGGGACAACCTCTGGGTTTTTCTTTCTTTTCAAGGACTTTGAAGGAGACTGGACTGTACAGCCATCGTCACAAGCTAGCTGGCTCCCTGTCCGGGGGGATGAAGAGGAAGTTATCTATAGCTATTGCTCTCCTGGGTGGATCAAGGGTGGTGATACTAGATGAACCAACCACAGGGGTGGATCCATGCTCTCGGAGAAGTATTTGGGAAATTATCTCCAAGAATAAAAAAGGTACCGTGACGAGACGAGATGCTACCCAGTGGCAAAGGTGACTCGTATCACTTTTGCAAATATGGTGTCAGTGGCTTTGAACCGTGGAGACCACAGAGAAGGAATTGTGGGGGGCTGGGATTTTGCAGGCCCTCTGGGCGCATCCTGGTTGGCCTCTGTAAATTCACAGTGTCATTTGAAAGTAACTTTAGCATAATACATGGTTTATAATACACTAACTTTCAGCTTCTCTCTAAGGCTGCCTTTTATCCAATTCCACTAACAATTACAAAAAGGCACAGTGGGTTTTCACCTGACACTCTGCCCCCTCCTTCAGCACAGCTTTCGTCCACCTCCTGTCATCCATCACACGTGTCTGTTATGTGGTGGCTGACAGCTTGATGTTTTCCAGGCAGGACCATCATTCTCTCCACACATCATTTGGATGAAGCCGAAGTTCTGAGTGACCGAATTGCCTTCCTAGAGCACGGAGGGCTGAAATGCTGCGGTTCGCCATTCTACCTCAAGGAAACGTTTGGTGATGGATACCACCTGACGCTCACAAAAAAGAAGGTTTGTGTCTGAGCTGGTCTGAAATTTTCAGCATCTTGGGTGGGAAACTGAGTCGGTCGTATGACAGGAAAGGAGAAGGCAAGCCGTAGTGTCCCACAGAAACGGAGCATGCTGCAGAAGGTTCTTCTTGGTCTTAGGTGTCTGCGGTGGAATGGTTGTTTCAGTGTAATTTCACTGTCGTGGAGTATCTTCTTTATGCGACCGCTTTATGCCCGAGTGGAAGTGAGATGTGTTTTGGGTTGAAACCGTTGGGTTTGGCCACACAGGTTCAAGAATCTGCTGGACTGTTTCCTTGGGCTGCCAGTAAGATCATTTTCTCATGTGCCCCAACCACTGAGATACCTGTTTAGGGTGCACTCTGCTCTCCGGCTCGCTCTGCCTGTCCCATGCTGGAATTCACGTGCTTTTATTATAAATAAGTTCCCTTCAGAAAGACAGCCTACATGGAGGGTTCCCCGAAACACAAGAGTCTGAGCTTCAGCCCCTCTGCACAAAGCCTTGCAGCATTAGTAGACACAGCAGAGATCTGGACTTGAGCATCCTGTGTCCCAGGAGCAGTCCTTTTTATCCTCCCTTCCCCGCTGGGCCTTAGCTCCCTTTCGTGCCCCATGAGCACGGTCACCGCAGCAGGCAGAGGCAGAGATTCGCCTGTTTGCCAGCCTGCACAGAGCTGGAGCTCTCAGCAGCTCCATCTCTGAGGGGGGCCATCAGGGCAGTTCCAAGGCCAGCAGTGTTACCCAAGCTGGATGTACACATCCAGCTCCTCAGTAGGTCTTGGGTAACACTGCCGTCCACTTCTCGGTGAGAGATGTTAATGTTCAGCCCTCACTGCCCTCGAAGGAGAGGGAGGCTCTCCAGTGGCACCACAGGACCAAGCTCCACTGCCCTTGGAAAACAGGAGTGTCAGTACTCTGCTTTGTTGAAAAGGAAGAGGGTCGCCTTGAGGGTTCAAGGCAAGGCCGGGTGCAGAGTGCGAGTTCTGGAGTTTGGAGAAATCAAGCAGATAGGAAGAGCTCATCCACACTCCCCGGCCTGAGGCAACATGTTGTGCTTCCATGGAGGGGGGAACTCTGCTCTTGATAGCATTTAGTACAGGGCTGTTGGTAGCCCCAGCACACAGAATAATGTGCACATACCATAAGGATCAGCCCCTCTTCCAAAATTGCTGGCAGTATAGGTGGTATGAAAACAGACCCATGTTCAAGCCCCTTTTTTCATGGGAAAGAGGCTGGATTGGTGCTGGCAGCAGAGTTCAGGTATCAGCTCCCTTATTGTCAGGCTTTTTCTCTGCTGTACTACAAACCCTCTAGCTCATGCAAAGCTGTTGACTCAGCCCACTCCCCATATCCCAGTAGGCTGAGGAAGCCCAGTGAGGTCTTGGGTGGACCGAAACGGGCACAGTGTCACACCACCTCTTCGAGGGCCACAAACCCACTCCCATCTCCTTTGGATATTTAACTTGAAATGTTGCGTACCTGGACTGCAGTCACATTCCAGTTATGCTCTGGGACAGGATCTGGGCTAAATCCTGTGCTAGGAAGTTTGGCCTGGCAGCCTTCTCGGTGACCACAGTGTGTTTTCCTCCTTTTTCAGAACATGATCGAGGAGTGCGACACCACAGCAGTGACCTCCTTGATCCAGTCCCACCTCCCGGAGGCTTACCTCAAGGAGGATATTGGGGGAGAGCTCGTGTACGTGCTTCCCCCCTTCAAGTCCGCAGTCTCAGGGGCCTACCAGGCACTTCTGAGAGCCCTCGATACCAGCTTGAGCGATCTCCACCTTGGGTGCTACGGGATTTCAAACACAACCGTGGAGGAGGTATGAGCTCGGGATCCGCTGG